CAGCCAGGGCTGGGCACTGCAGGGGCCATGGCACTATTCACAAACTCTCCAGGATGGCTGCAGAGTGATGCTCCAGGAGCTTCTGAGGAGGAGGAAGACATCCCTGATCCCCACTGGTACTTCTAGAACAGCAGGTAATGGTGGAGATGTGCAGTGGATCCAAACACCAGGGATGTGCAGTCAAGGTGCTTTGCTCTGGGTCACCCCACCAGTGCCACGGGCAGCCAAGTCCAAAACTGTCCCTTGGAGTGAGGGCTGTGGTTCAATCACTAAGAACAACTGGGATGGACTGGGCAAGGTGGGCACTGGGGAAGCTGCTCGTAGGTCAGACAAGCCTGAGCCATTTGACAAGTCCTCCAGAGGACAATCAACATCAGTTCCACCTTGTCCCACTCCTATCTGGTCCACTAACACAAAACTACAGCAAGGAAGGAGAGTGTCACCAGCTTTGTCTGTGTCCCCCTCACCTGGACATCCTGAGCACGACCAGCTCACCCACCTGAGGAACAGCAAGACACCCAAGGGGAAGAGACAGACCAAATATTTCAGCAGAAGATTTAAATTAAGGCAAAAGGTGGGGAAAAGCAAGGTTCTGCTGCGTGAGCAGATCTAAACGTGGGTTTTCAGGAGTCAGGCATTAGAAGGAAGAGAAAAAGCAGTTGAGCAAGCAACACATTGCGACTCAGAAAGGAAATCACCTTATTCACTCCAAGAAAAGCTGTGATTGCTGGAAGTTTGAGAAAGCATGAAGATAGTGGATGTTCCTGAGGAAGGAAGGCGCTTCGTTACCTAGTTCACAACAGCACAAAAGACAGAAAATTGCAGTACAAGAAAGAGAAAGGCAGAAACCAAGGAAAACACAAATGCGCCTTGCAGTTAAAAAAACAAAGAAAACCAAAACAAAAACAACATTTCCACACAGCAAATTTAATAAAGGCTGAGCAGAGCTGATGAGCTGTTACAGGAAACTGGGGGTGAAACCCTGTCCCATTGGGATCAGCCTGGCCTCAAATCCATCCCCCCCTTCCATAAGGGACAAGCTGTGACTCAGGCCTCTCTGCAGTGCCCCTAATTTTGTTCTTCACTTACTGCTTCCCTTGGGACACTGATCTTTATTTTATTTCAATATTAAGGTCAGGATTCTCAATAAGGGTTTTGATTTGAAATCATCGAGCTGGTCTCAGATTCCTTTACAAATCAGGCAGTTGGCTTTGGTGTCTGATGGCTGGCACAGATATCAGAGCTGCTATCTCCTTCAGGCACTTATAACAAAGCTCTTACTCAAAATGTACATTTAAATATGGCTCAGCCTGTGTTTGGTCTGGGATGCACATCTGAAGAGACTTTTCTAGCTGACACTCACTTTGCTTTGCTAAGTGATTTCACAAGAGCCTTTTTTAAATTAATATAAAGCACTCTTGAAAGTAAGTACTGCAAGAGGGGATGGATCTTTGGTCAGCAGCTGAAGGCAAAAGTGGGTGACACCTCCCAGGTGAGCTGAGCTGCGGCTCAGAAATCCCCAGGTCACCCTTCCAGGGCACTGTCCCCAAACTGTCCCATGTCTGCAGCTGAGAGCAGCTCCCTCCACCCTATTCAACAGGGGTGTCCAGCTAGAAACTATGAAACCATACTCAAGTGGAAAAAGTTGCATGGATCCTCACAAAACACAACCACAGCTCTCCTACCATCCCTACTGATTTCAACTTTAATGATGTCCCATCCCTGGAAGTGCTCAAGGCCAGCTAGGATGGGGCCCTGAGCAACCTGACCCCATGGCAGGGCTGGAACTGGGTGAGCTTTAAGGAGCCCTCCAAGCCCAGCCATTCTGTGATTCCATCAACAACCAGGGGACCTGACTGCCTGTGACGCCACCCCACATCCCTGCAGCTCTGCACGGGACATGCAAGCCCCAGGGCTAGAGACCAGGGCTGGCTGGCAACTCCCACGTGCTGGCCCAGGGCAGGACTTGATGCTGCAGGGGAAGAGAGGAGGGGAGCAGGAGGGGAGCAGGAGGGGAGCTGGAGCTGCCCCTGGGGATGCTCAGCCCCTCGGGGCAAGCAGAGACAAGGGGCAGGGGCTCAGCACATCCTGGCAGTCAGTGCTGGCCTTCACCACTCACAGGAGCAATGGAGAAAACTTTAAAAGAGGTTTCCACTCCCAAAGGGAGCCCTCCTCCCCAGCAGTGAAGGAAAAGCTCTTAAAAAACCAGACAATTTCCTGGGAAAGTGAACATCATGGGCTGAGCCTTTGGTTATTATGGAGGATGAGCAAATGTGACCAGACCTGCCCCTGGTGCCACTGCACCAGCACCTGAGGACACACCTGGGGGAGCATCCTGCTTGCTCCTGACATACAAACAAGCAGCTCTTCAGGACAACATCAGGTGTGCTCGGTGAGCAGCTCAGCTGGACAAGGCTTGTGCACTCCTCTAGGAGACACCACACCCCCACCCAGGGAAGGCACAGGTGGGCTCTCTCCCGGCTACAAATCTAGGCAGCATTTTCAGAATAACTTCTTGACGTTTTGGGCATGTGAAAGAGCAAGGCAAGACTCTGGAAAGCCTTCCTTGAGATGTGAGTGGTATGTGGTATTGTTAGAGGCCCATCTAGTGCCTGAGGGTAAGAAAGGTCTTCCTAAAAACAGTGTGAGACATCATCTTGTTCCTTACCTGATGGTTTTTCTCTTTTATATTTTTTAAAACTATTAGAAGAATTTCTGGGAAAAGGCTGATAAAGATCAGGAGAATTATTGCCAGCCATGTGGAAACAGAAGTCAGCATGTGAGCAAATACAAAATACATTCTTTGCTGCTTCAAGAAAGGCCTGAAAAAAGAAAGGATACAAATAAATTCTGGTTAACATGGGTTTTCCAAGAAGATCAGAATCAAAGGAGACTTCAGGTACAGCCATTAGCAGCTATGCCTCCCTTTCAGACAGAGATGGATGCAGCACACAAACACCCTGTCCATCCTTCTCCCCACCCATCTCCTGCCTCCAGCTGCACTATTTCTGGAAGATTGTCATGATCCATTTTGCATCTTCCACGTCTGTTTCTTTTCAGGGTGGGAAGGAGTTTGAATTTAGCCACCATCATTGAAAAATAAAATATTCACCTCATCAAAAACAAGGTCATTTTATTTCAACACCACAACCAGGCTCTCTCCTGTTGATTTTTCCCTCTGTCCCAGAGAGCCAGGTCCTCTTGCTCTGCATCTGTTCCTTCCTTTTGTTTCACTGGGGTTCTTTCCACCACAAATTCTTTCTGTCCCTCTCATCCAAGTGCACAAACAGACCCTGAAAGTTTTACTCCAGAACCTCCCAATAAAGACAAGAGCCCCAGCACCAGGAATGACCCTGTGGGCAGAGAAGCAAACACCCCCTGCCAAAGCTGAGCACCTGGGTGATGCCCTGGCTGTTTTTCAGGCTCTCCAATCTGGAGGGCTGAGACCTCCTCAAACACATCCCATCACACACCAGCCCTCGTCCAGCACTGGCCCTGGGATGGAGGCATCCCCTCCTGCACACACCTTGCCACTGCAAATCCCAGGAGCCCCCAAGGAGGGGATGCTGCCCTGCCAGAGCCAGCACTGGGCACTCACTCCCCAAGAAAGCACAGAGGAAAAAAGAAAAGATACTTGCCAAATGACTCCTCCCCAAAAGAATGAGAAAAACACATAGAAAGCAAGGGAGCCCCAAATCACAAAGTGGTTCATCCACGTCCAGAATCGGGTATCTAATGCTAGCTGTGGGAATAAAAAGAGACAAAACAGGCTTTAATGTATGGGATTGCACTGAAATGAAATTTCTGACTGGTTTCACATTAAGGCTGAAGGTTCTCCAAACAGCTGTGCATATGGGCACCAGGAAAAACATTTTCAATGTCCACAGTCTGGCACAACGTTAGCAGGGAAACAGAGACATTCTAATTGTAACTGACATTTTTTAATGGAATAAATTTGATGCAACCCTTGATGTTACAGGAAAGAAACATCTAAAGGTTACAGGGGCTGTAATTGCCTCTTGTCACCACCTGCTGTCCTGAACCAAACAAAAAAGACCTTCTGTAAGGTCTTATGCAAACAGTTTGTTCTGGAAAGCTCCATGAAACAAAATAGATTTGCTATTGTTATTTGACACGTGTGCTTTTGTGATCACTCTGGCACTCAGCCTTGTCTGAAACAAGGTAGACAAACCCAAATTCTCTACTGCTCCTCTCCTCTTGCTGGAACTGAACATCAAGAGGTGAAAGCGTGGGGAAAAGTCAACCATTACCAACTAGAGTCCTTAAAAGAGGGGGAAAAAATAGAAAAAAATAAATTAAACAATACAAACACTTAATGACTACAGAAAGGAAAGCAAGCAGCTTCTGCCTCTGTGGAAGAAGAGATTGAAGTGTGGTGGAAAATGAGCACATGAATCCATGATTCTACAGTGCACCCAGGAGCCCTGGAAAGGCTGCAGGGAGATTCTCACCTTGAGAGTGACAGTGAACACCAGCACGGTGAAAACAATCGTCCCAAAGGTCCAGTTCCCAAACACCTGCAAAACACAGAGCACTGCCACAGGCGTCCCTGCCCTCCTCTGGGAGACACAGGGACACTGTGGGGACAGGGGGCAAGCAGGGGACACTGCCGGGGGACACAGACACTGCCAGGCTCCAGCACACACACACCTCACACCCACCATGCCACCCTGAGCCATGCAGTGCCACACAGACAGGTGAGAGCTGGGACAGTGACAGGGACACTCTCCTACTAACAGCAAGTCATTGCACCACCTGCATTTCAGCCTTTCTTGGCAATTTACTCAGTTTCTGCTTTCTCACCACACTCATCATCATCATCATCTCTCTGCAGTCCCCTCTGCAGAATGCACCAGTGGGTTCTGTTCTGGTTGGGTTTTGGGTACTAGTGACTACACACACAAAGAAAAGCAGATACTGTCTATAAATCCAAATGATGGCAATGAATGGGAGAGATGCTTACCAAAGGCTGTCAAGATCTGAGTGCATACATTAAAACAGAAAGTGAAATGTAAAAGTTTTCAAAAAATGCAAAAAAATTAAAGTCAACAGGAGTGAAAAACGAGTCAATCAAACATACATGGATAATTATGAACAATTGCTGGTAGCAGTTCTTACAGGCATAGGTGTTTACAGAGCAGGACATAACCACACGTTTTATTGTAGTGCCACATAGACTTGACCTCTGAAGGCATTCACAGAACATATCAGTGCTCCATGTTTCACTCAAATACAACCAGGATGGCTGCAGACACAGCAGAGCACTGACCTGACACTCCAGGGGCTTGGCTACAAATAGCTGGGGCCATAAATGCTGGCATTGATGCAATGTATGAATATGCATATATAAATTTCATCAGCTTTTCTCTAAGTGTTAGCCACTAAAAAAGGTGCAGGTGATGGTGTAAAGAAGTTTCCCATCAGTCAGGATCTAATAACTGCACATTCCCTTGGGGAAAGGGTCCTGAAACAGCTCAGGCCACCACACATGGCAGCTGCCCTGCACTAAGGCTTTGCTCTGTACTCAGTGAACCAGCAAAATAAGAGAAAATAAGAAAAAAAGGAAAAATAAAAAGTATCTCCATCTTTTTTCCTGCTCTTTCTGTGCAAGTTAACCCCTGCAGCTCCCACAGCAGAGGCACAGCAAGCAGGGACAGCATCCTGCAGCCTCCAGCAGCTGGGGACTTCTGCTGGCTCCAAAAAGGAGCAGAAGGCCAGCACTGGCCTCCCCCCTGGGCAAGGGAGATGGAGCTGAATGCAGAGGCCAGAGCAGGCACAGCACACCAGCAGCCCTGCACCCTGTCTGCACTAACCAGCACCATCTGCCAAGGTGGGCTAACTGAGCCAGCCAGGCACATGCCCAGGGTGAGGCTGGCACTGCCCCTGCCTGGGATCACACAGCAGAGGGGACCAGCACCGTGCTGAGCTCACTGGCTGGGAACAGACCACTGATTTTACCTAGTGAGTGTAACCAGCTCTGCCCTGTTTCCATGGCGATCTGGAAAAGGTTTTATTTCAAGCATTTGCTGCAGAATCACACCATAAGCAAGGCTACAGTGCTGGACAGGACTGGAGACACACTGCACAGATTAAGCAGGCAGATATTCCCTGCCAGGAGCAGCAGAGGCAGGGCACAGAACGAACCCATCCTCCCTGCAGCCGTTACCTTTCCGTTATCTTCCAACGACGAGTTTTGAAACAGAAAATAAACCCCAAAGAAAAACACAAGTCCTTCAAAGGCTCCCAGAAAGGTCCAGTACAGGAAGGGCCTCCACTGCAGCATTGCATTATCTGACACCTTCCTGCCAAGAGACGAGCAACAACAACATCAGCACCACGCTCAGGCTGCACTGCAAGGCTCCTCACAGACACGGACTGGGGGCAGGAGGCAGGGGGGAAACCACAAAAACACCTGCCAGGACATAAAACTTCTCATATGCAGCTGCTGATCATGAGAGATCACAAGGGGTTCAACATATGAATTGTTTTGCCCCTCTCCTCTAGGTAACTTGGACGAAAAAAACCACAGAATGAACAGAGGCAATGCTGTCCTGAACCCCTCCTGCAGCCCCTGGTATCTGACATTATCTGCTAATTTTAAAAGCAGGGTAAAGCTGAATATCCACGGTGTGCTTCCCTCTTTTTGTTGAATGCACAAAGTCCTTTCCTGAGAAAAGCTCTGCAAGTCCTGTTCCCTCAAGTGGTGTTTTTCTGCACAGGCTGAAAATAACCCCCTGAATGGTATGGTGGGTGTTTTTATCACAGGGGTTGTAGCAGGAGGCTCTTGGCTGAATACAGGATGAGATCTGGCATGGAGGCAGCAGCAAATGGATGGGCTGTGGGCAAAGCTCTGCAGGGACCACACACAGGGCCTGGGGAGTGAGGGTGGCTATCAGGACAGCGGGGAGTTAAAAATAGGTCCCCATATAATTCTTTTCAGATCACTGTCTTTAAAGTCCCCACCTTTTTTGCATTATTCTCCTTAACTCCTAAAGCAACACATCCATTTTTAGCAAGATGCTCTTTGCAAACGTGTGTGCTGCTGGGCTCCTGTAACTGCAGTTTCTGAAAGGAGACCCCATTGAAACCCACACACAAGGATGCTGTGACCACACTCTAACATATCCCAGTTTGGGTCTGAGAAAAGAGCAAGGATAAAGCAGACTGGAAGTGTGGGGTATTGCAAGGAGAGAAAACACAAGCAGCTTCCTCCCTGCCAGCTCTGTTTTGCATTCCCATTTGTGTCCTGCAGTGCTGGTGGTAAACAGGCTTTTCCAGAGTCAGGATCTGCACTGCAGCAGCTCAGCACTTCCTCCAGCAGCTCTGCAGCCAGCAGCACATGCACAGTCATGAATATTCCAGCTCAGGCTGCTTCCCCTCAGACAGACCCCAGAGAGCCCACCAGGGGAAGGCACAGGGGCCTGCTGTTGCTGCTCTCTGTTGCACAATATTCAATTACCAAGCTATTTAGAAACACAGACGGTGGCGTTTTGCATAGAGTGCAGAACAGAGCTCTAATCAATCATGGCTCTGAGTGTTTACTTCAGAACCACCCAAGCCCCTTCCCAGCCTTACAGCTCTCGTTGCATTCACTGCTTTTTCTATACCTAAGGCAACTTTCACACAGTATTTTGGGCACCTGGTAATTCCCTTTGCTGTCTCTGCACAGAGATCACTCTTGGCTCGAGCAGCCCCGTGTCACACCACAGCAACAGGGCTGGCACAAACAGCCTTGACCTGGCTTTTTCCACAGGGCTGAGCTGATGCCAGGCTGGGGAATTAGCAACAGGGAGGCACAGAGAGGGGTTTCCTCCAAAAAAAAAAAAATCTTCCTTAGTCTTTGCTGAAGGGCTGCCCCAAGCACGTGTGAGGGAGGAAGATGGAAAGCATCTCTGCTTCTGTGCAAGACTGGAGCCTCTCCCTGCTGCAAGCAAGGAGAGAAAACGACAAGCCAACAGAGAGAGACAGTCTGAGCTGTCCTTTCCCTGGGCAACGTGGCAGGAAACCGTGTGGATCAATGAGCAGAGCTCCCTGGGCTCTGATAAGGGGACCTGGCCTGTGGAGGGGAAGCCTGGGGGACCAGATCTATTCAGACAAGCTGAGAAACCACCTGCCTGAGCTGGGCTTCAGAAACATTCATCTTCCTGGAAATGAATGGATCTTCTTTTCCTCCTGAAAGCTGCATCTCCTCTCCCTGCATTACAGGCTGCATCACGTGCTTGGCTCAAAGGTAAAGGGAATGAATGAACGGTCTGGCCACACTCACAGCTCCATTCTTCTTATGGATGAATTCCACCCACAGTTTACTCTCTCACAGACACACAGCAGTGCAATTTGCTAGAGCAGATACTGTCAGAGAGCATAAACAAGCAGCAATAGGCAGTCAACATGAGGCTGCTCAGCTTGAACGCAGGGACAGCTGAGCCAGGGGGGACAGAAATGGCTTTTTCTGCATTTCATGGTGATCCCATCCCTGACACAGCACAGGGACACCTGAACCAAGAAAACTCCAAGCTGTGCAGAGGCTGAGCCAGCCCAGGATACTCACATGTAGAGCTGAGGGTCTGAGGTGAGAGTGTCAATGCTGATGTGCTGCTCCAGGAGGCTGTAGGCCAGGATAGGCAGTGATGTGAAGCAGATGTTGTACATGGTCAGGTAAGCAGCATCATACAGTGGCTTGGAAGGGGAAGAAAGGGTTAAATGAGAGACAGAAAAAGAAGACTCCTTTTCTCTCCACAAAGAAACCAAACCACAGATTTCCAGCCCTTGTCTCCTCCATCCCTTTGTCCCTCACTGCATGGGAGCTGTGCCCTGGGCACTGCAAGGGGAACAAGGCACCCCAGGCTGTGCCCAGGGACCTGCTCCCACTGACAGCAACTTCTGTAACTGGCTGGTCTCATCTCCAGCTTATCCCCCAGGAAAACAGGACTACCCAGCCCTGATCACAGCTTTCCTCTTGCTGCTCTTGTGCTGCCGTTTCTATTAATACATTTCATGCCTCCTGTGGCTCTCTGAAGACTAGACTGTTTGAGAGGAACTATAGCTTCTTTTTTTAAAAAAAAAAAGGAAAAAGGCAAGTGTTGCTGCCAAAACAAGCAGAGAATTCTCTCTCACCATTTACTCTGTTACTTTTGAGACCAAATAGACACAAAAGCCCCTTCAGTTGACACAAAAACCAAGCACATGAACCCCCTCACCACACGGATCTGCCCCTCTGATGCTTACTAGGACTAAACAAAGCTCTGGTAACACCCATTGTGTCTTTTTTAAAATCTGCTATAAAAGAATGAACCGTTCTTCCTTCTGAGTGTATTTCTAATGCAGTGAGAGGCAGAAGAGGAGGCAAAATCAGGAAACCTTTCAAAACTTGTTCTCATAAGAGAAGCAGAAGTAGCAAAATCAGGCACTGACAAACCAGCTAAATCCTTCTCTCGTTACTTCAGGAAGGTGTCCACAGCTGGTGGGTGGCAAAGCAAAGAAAGCAGATTGCTTTCTTTTCAGTTATGGTCTCAAAATATTATGTTCCAGATATGGTGCTGAGCAACAAGGTCAGCTCCTACTGTCCTCCAGAGCAAGGTGGTGAAGGGACAGGATGCCAAAAGCCAAGTCTCTGCTAAGAATCCTCATTATGCCACTTGCTTTTTATCCTGCATTTATAGACAAATTACTGGAAGTTACCTGCTGTGAGAATCCACAAAAGAACTGGTATAAAAACTGTGGTAAAATGAAGCAAAGGTTCTGGGAAAACAAAAGACAAATGGTCAGCAGGGAAGCACCTGACTTCTCAACCTAAATCCAAGCAGCTTTCCCTGTTATCAGACATTAGTGTCTGACATTACAACATCAGACAAGGCAGGGCACTTGTTCAATCAAGCACAAAAGCAATGCAGTGAGCAGTCAGTATCTGCAGGAGACACCAGAAGAATGCTCACATTCCCCTGGAAGCTCTGCTTTCCATGGACAGGCACGTGGCAGACACAGCCTGTCCTAGGGAAGGAAAACAGAACTACAGAATACCCCACATATTTTTTTTTCCTGTTTATTATTTTATTCTATTGCCAAAGAAGTGCAGAGGATAAACAAAGACCAGCTGCACGCTGCCCCTTACCTTATAGAAGAAATACTGTACAAGGTGTGCTATTCTCACATAATATAAATGCCCATGTGCTAGTAGCAGTTTTCTTAAATGTTTAAACTTTGGCACAGCATAGTCGCTGTTTCTGGAGGCCTGGCGTCCTTCTTTGCCTTTTATCCCTGCAGACAGAAGCACGGCAAGGGTTAATCCCAGAGGGGCTGGCATCTGGACACTGCCCACTGGCTTTGCTCACATCACTCAGTGGCTCAAGGCACGACAAAGGCTGAGTTTCCCTCCTGAGTGTCCCAGGAGACCAAAGATGAATACTTTAAGTGTGGTTTTGGCTCCACAACACTCAGACCTGTCTCTGGAGTTTTTAAGCTATTTTTAGGCTGCTCTGTGATTTCCTGTGTAAGTGTGGTGAAGGGTGTCTAGGCAAACGTGCTGGGAGATAAGGAATTGGATCCCCATGGGCTGGCCTGCATCTCACACAGCTCAGTTATTGCCCTGCAGCTGCCCAGCCTCCTGAGCCATCCCCACAGAGCTGGCTTTTCACAAAAGCCACATCCAGATGAACTGCACTGGATTCCCTTCGTTAGAGGGCACCACTGCATTTCCAACAGCCCCAAATGAAGAACTGGTATTGCAGCAGTGTCCCACATTTCAGACACCAACGTGCAGCCAGGAGGAGCCTCCAGCCTGCTGTCAAGTCCCTGGGCACCAGCCCCAGCACACACCCGGGGCTCCCTGTGCTCAGCTGCTGCCACCAGCCAGCACTGCAGTCCCTGCACTGCCACAACTGCCACCAATCATTCCCCAGCAATCACTGGTCATCTGTATCTGCTTGTGCCCCTCCTTCTCCTGAGCCCCCAGCAATCCTGGCCACCACTACTCTGCTCACAGAGTTTCTGAATTACCTGCAGTGTCTCCCTGACAGAACAGTACTAGCACAGGTGAGCAGTACATGGTGATCTCATCTCTCTCTCCTTTACAGTGAGGGTGGTAAAACACTGGCACAGGGTGCCCAGAGAGGCTGGGGATGCCCCATTCCCGGGAACATTCAAGGTCAGGCTCTGAGGGATTTGATGGAGTTGAAGATCTCCCTGCTCATTACAGGTACTGGATCCTTTAAAGGCCCCTTCCAACCCAAACTATTCCACGATTCTATAATCTCAAGGATTAATCTGGAATTAAACTGTGCCTCCAGAGAATGCAAGAGCAGACCTCCCACACTTTTCAGTGGGATTGGTTTAGCCAGGTGAAGTCAGAAATACCAACTGCACTCAGCAGTGAGCCCCAGGCAGAGCAGCCAGGTCAGGGCTGTGAGCTGGGTGTTCCAGGGACTCTTACCTATTCCAACATGTGCTTCCAAAATCATACTGACATCATTTGCACCATCCCCTATGGACAGAGTTATGGGGCTTCCTTTTGTGTTCTTCACCATTCGCACAATCTAAAAGATTTTAGAAAAGGACAGCAGCAGAACCCAAAATTCAGTCAAAAAGCCTGCAGAGACCTTCCCACTGCTCCCCCCAGGACAAGCAGTCAGGCTTTTCCAGCAGCAACACAACACCTGGAGAGCTCAGGTTGATAAAAGCCCTTGTTACTCTTTGCAATCACAACAAGAGCAAAAGCCCAATCCAGCTGTGCAGGGCTGAAGGACAGAATTTAAAAACAAACCCCAGCAGCAACATCCTGCTCTTCCCTTCTGCCAGACCCTGCTCCCCCAAAGGTGGGATCTCTGACAGATCCCAGGGTGCAGAAACATCACTGATCAGGCTGGGACATCATCTGCTGGAGTGAGGAAGTCACTGACTCCACTTGACAAATTTGGAAAGGGGAAAAAAAAAAAAAAAGCAAACTGGGAGGTTTTGTTTATGTCTAACTGGCCTGGGTTTATGGGTTCCTGCCAGCATATTAAACAAAGGGTTTGCATTCAGCTTTGGAGGAATGGTGTGCTTTCATCATGCTGTGAAGCTTACACATAGCCTGGAGAAGTCCTGCTTGATTAGTATGATCAGGTCAAGTCCCAGCTGATGAATTCAGCTTGTGTCACATCAGGCAGGGAGAGGTAAAGAAATAAATACCTGTGCTTTCTGCAGTGGAGCCATCCTGCAGCAGAGCACTGCAGTGCACTTCAGGCAGATCTGCAGGAATATGCTTTTGTAATTGCTGGAGCCAGAGTCCTGAGAAGGGTTCAGGATCAGGGACAGTGTGGAGCCATCGATGATCAGTCCATATTCCTGACTCAATGTCCAGCTTCTGGGGAACAACAAGGAACACGTTTGAAAATCAGACTGAGAAGTCAACCTAGCTGCTTGTATCATCTTAGTGAAAATAAAAAACGGTTTTGGGTTAATCTTCTCTCCATCCATTTTTTGGGGCTTAGCAATTTTAAAAGGCTTAGACTTAACACGTGCCCTTCACTAAAGGAACAGTGCAAAGTTCAAAGCCAACTAATACCAGAGATGATGAGCAAAGCCAAGGAAGCAGGCACAGTGTCTGCAGGCAGCCAGTGCCCAGGGCCACAGCACGGGGCTCCTCCTCTCCCAAACCTGCATCTCAAACGTGCACAGCTGGCTCCTCTGGCTCACTCACCTCTTCAGGCCTCCCCGGTTTTTGGGAACATCCTGGATGAGTTTTTTGTGGTACTCCAGCAGCAGCTCATGGAGCCGATCCTCCTTCCTGTCAGTGTCCCCCACTGTCGAGGCTGTGAGCTCCAGCAGCTCTGTGCTGGTCTGGAACAGCCTGCAGGCGTAGCACGTGGACTTAGCAGTTTCCATCTTGTCCCCTGTCAGCACCCACACCTTCATGCCAGCTGCATGCAGGGCTTCGATGGTCTCTGCCAGCTGCTCCTGCAGCCTGCAAGCACGAGAAAAATCACCACACAAGCCTGATTCTGCTTCTGCAGGTACAAAACACCAGCTCAAGACAAGTTAATTGGCATTTCCCATGCTGGCCTGATCACTGCCACAGGAATAAGGATTACAAGCCAGCAATACTAAATCTTTATTTGCAGGCAAAAAGAGAAATCACTGTTTTATACTCTTGACTCTTAGGCCTCCCAGTAAGAGTTTAATTTACACTTGCAGTTCCTATAACTGAATGTGAAATTGAATTTGTTTTGATGTGCAAATTAATGCTGTGTGCTTAATTCACTCTCTAGAAGTGCAAGTATTTCTGTAGTTTCATTAATAAATCCCAATTCCTACTACACCAGACAATTTAAGCAACTAGGGCACTGTGAAATGGGTTGTGCCATGGTGTAATTAATTGCCCTGGACACTGGCAGCATCTGCCTGGCTGTTCAGTTCCACCACAGCGAGTCTGGGCCACGAGGTGACAGCCCAGAGAAGGCACAGGCACCACAGAGCTGGTCCTTACCTGTCTTCTACAGCAGTAGCCCCAATCAGGTGCATGTCTGCTTCTGTGTCATCAAAAACCTTGGCCATCTTCTCCTCCCTGTCCTGCAGAGCCATCTTGGCTTCATTGAGCTGCCTGTCAATTTTGTCATACTCCTTCTCAGTGAGTTCTTTGAAGGCCACACACAGCGTTCTGTAGCCATCCTGGCAGCAGCAGGGAAAGAAAACAAAGTGGACAAACACTCTAAATCCAGATTTCTTACAGCTCCTCACTTGAGGGTTGGTGCTTTTGTCTACCATCAGTGCTTCTGGCAGTACTGGCCCTGAGGGCAGGGACAATTTGTTGGCTTGTGTCAAAAGAGCAATTCTCTGTGTTTATACAGTAACTTCTTCCCACCAGAGTGCACATAATAAACAGAACCATGATGAGAAAGAAACGAAGAGAAGGAGCAGGGCTGAGAGTGTGCAGCCAGCAGGGAGAGCAGGGACTGGGTGCCACCACCACCACAGGGACCAGGCTGCTGATTTTACTTCCATTTTTAACTTGCCTGGGAGATGCTTGGACACAACCTTGGTGGAGACCATATAAGTATTTCAAATAAAGGTGGAAGCCAACCAAACAAAAAAGGAAAGAAGGCTGCCATCAAAACAATGTGAAGTGACACTCTGCTTTTCAACACTTCCCTCCAGAGCAAGGTCACACCCCTATTTTTGGAAGAAGGCTTTCCTGAGCCCAGAGCCAGCCAAATTCCAGCTGTGTGCTCACCATGGCATTGCGGTCCACGTGGACTTTTGTTTGCTGGATTTCTTCTTGCTGTACCCTTGGAAAAATAGAGGAGTCTGCTCCTTTACAGAAGAGAAGTAACTTTCCTAAAAGCAAATTATAAATAGTTTATAGCACTCACAAGCTGCAGAAAGACTTAAAAGTCAACAGCAAGTAAGTGATGCAGAGGGAGGAAACCTGGCAGGACTAAAGAGGGAACTGCTAGAAATCTGATTCCTACCAAAAATGGCCTTTGACCAGCCTGTGAAAAAATCCTGGCTGAGACTTTGGGTGTCCCTACCTGCCTCTGAGTAAGTTTTCAGCAACAGGCAGGGCATTGTATCTGTAAGCCTTGGCAACCCTTCCAGAGAGGGTAAAAGCAGCATCCCAAACCTTACAGCACAGACACTTGAGAGGGATGGTGACCTCACAATTTTTGTCTGTTATTCCCATGAAACCCCATCCCACCCAGGGGACATTCTCACATGTCTTCCCTGTACTTGTTCCAGGCAGGGAGCTCTCCATGGGTCACTGTCCTCATCCCCTGATCTGCTGCTGGTCCCTAACAGCTGCTACGAAGCAAAGTTAACTCTGTGGCAACCAGACCAGTACAGAACCTTGGTTAGACCAGCCTAGAAAACATCCCAGCTCAGCTCGTGTGGGTGACAGGAATAAGGAGGATGTTTTCTGGCAGTGCCCACAGGTGTGCAGCAGCCCCACAGGTGCACCCTGCCCTCACCTGTGCTGGTTCTCACAATGACACTCATCCGGCGCCGCACTGGGTCAAAGTTCAGCACGTGGAGGAGTTGGTACCTTCAGAAAAAGGGGAAAAAAAAAAAAAAAAAAAAGCTCTGACTCAGTAAAGGAAAAACAGAAAAATAACTATTTGAGACAGAAAATCACTAACAGTGAGCTGCAGAAATCAATACACCCTACAAGCAGCATCAGCCACCTGGGAATGAATTTTACAGCTACTGCACAAGAAAATGGAGGGAAAACCACCCCAAATTCCAGCAGTGCTGTGGTGCTCTGAGCATGGCACTGAGGGTGTGGGCACCCAGCAGTGCAGCAAGGCCCCAGGCTGGGCAGGGGCTCAGCAGGGCATGGGGCACCACGTGCCACAGGCAGCAACACCGAGCCTCCCATTTAAATAAGAACTTTTTTCATGAGGGAAGTAAGAAGTGAAACTTGCTTGTGAAGGCAGGTTTGGGGAGTGCTGGGATTAGTCACTGACTCACAGATGTCCACCAAGCTGAGAGCACAGGGTAAAATCTACCTGTTTTCAGCTTGGGAGGGGAAAAAAGGTTCCAGGGAACGGAGCTGTATCACGAGTTTAGGCTTACAGTGTCCTGCTGTGAGCCCCAGCTCCAGAAGGTCAGCAGCCACCTCCTGAACCTGGTGCAGATGAAGGACACACACAAAGGACTGCAGGCTCCCGAGGGACCTGAATTTAGACATCAGTGAACCACCCGTGGATTTTTACAAGCGAGCCTTTTCACCTCCACCTTGATGTGGTGTGCTTTGTAAATGGGACAGGAGCTTTGGGGCAGCTCAGCACGGTGTGACAGCCCTCAAGGCACAGCTTGGACCTTGCCAGGTTGAGCAAACTCAGAAAAGCTGGGTGGGAGTGGTGCAGAAGAGCAGCCCTGTTCCTCAGCAGCACTTACATCTCAGTTTCATTCTTTTGGTTTCGGATTTTCATGAAATCGTTTTCAAGTCCTAGAAAAGTGAAACCATACCTGTCAATAAACAAAAGGACAGAACAACATTGAAAACACCCATTGGCACATATTATACATAACAATGTTCTCGTTTCACCTCCTGCACTGCAGAGCAGAGCTCGGGGAGCCTGAGCTAAGGGGCATGGCTGGATGTTTGTTTGCTACGATGTCCTGGCACTGCTCCCATCCCCTGGAGAGCCTGGGCACTGGAGCACACAGACACAGAGAAACTCTGGACATGGTCCACTGCCTCTCTGGCAGCTTCACAAGCCATGAGCAAGTGCACACAGCTGCAGCAGCCTCCATGGAAAACCTCAACCTCCATCTAAAACCAGGGGCTGGCAAGAGCACAGGATCACTGATTTGGGCTGGAGGGATCTTCCAACTCACCTGGTCCCAAAGCCCTGCCACGGGCAGGGACACCTCTCACTAGAGCAGGCTCTGCCAGCCTGGCCCCGAGCATCTCTGGCACGATTCAAAGGTGGGGTTGACTAAAGTAACCATCCTGTTATTTTGCCACTGCACGGCAAGGAAAAAACGTCACTGCAATATGCAGATGGTAACTGGTCTGTGTTCCTAGGGGATTAAAGCACGATGCCATGTGGGCAAAGAAGCCCCTGCCACACCTGGGCACTGCAGCACCTTGGGGATGCTCTGAGTGAAAGCAAACCATGGGCTACCAGGGCAGATCCTTTACAGAGCTTCCCTTTGACAGAGCTCATTAAACCCCCAGGGCACAGGGCTGCAGCTCAGGCTCAGCAATGGTATCACAGCACGCTTCCCAGACACTGTGGACAGGGATCTATCACCTTCAGACCCCCCTCACCTCCCTCCTTCCCACCAGAGAATCATTAAATTAAATTAAAATTAAAAAGCCAACATCCTCCCATTCTTACTTTTCTGCTCCTTTCACCAAAGCGATTTCATCAGGGGAAGAGGAGATGTAGGTGCATTTTCTCTCTGGGTGTGCCATCAGCCCATCCACCTGGTCTGCCTCCTTGATCTGCACCGTGTGGCACAGGCACAGGGCTCTCAGGAACAGCTCCTCACGGCTCTGGCCAGGAGGGAGGGAGAGAGAGAGGGGAGGGCTCATTACCAGCTCAGTGGATCCACACCCAGCCAGGAGCTGGCCACAAAACCCTTCCAGCCATCAGCACACACATCTCCTACCTTTTCAGCTTTGCCACAGTATTTGAGGGGTCCATCAGGCTGGGAGAAGCCATCCACCTCTGAAATGCAGTCCTTGTACTTGTGCCCATCTATGCAGCACTCGATGAACTCCATGCTGTTCTCTGTCAGTGTCCCAGTTTTGTCTGTGAACACGTACTCCACCTGCAAGCACCAGGCAGCTGCCACAGGGGCTGGGCAAGGAGCCCCAAAAAAGGGGCTGGGGCTTGTCAGTGCATGTGTGCCAGTGCTGGAGAGCACCTGGCTATCCTAACCTGGCTCTGCACTGTGTAGGTCTGCTGGCCCCTGAGCTTTTCATGTTGCAAGGTGGCAGGAGACAACTTCTGAAGACTTTAAATCTGTCTCCAGGCTCTTCACTTCCCCCTCATTCACTTTCTGGGGTCCTTTTCTACAGCCCTAGTGCTTACAGATCTGCTGCTGCCTCCTCTGGGGGATTTTCATCTTGGAGTTGTATTTCAATTTGTTAATTGCTACTCTGAGTATACTTTTATTATTGTTTTCAAAGCAGAATCAGGAGCAGGAGGCAGTACACATGCCCTGCAGATCAGAAAGGGAAGCCTGAGCTGCCTGGGTGCCCCACAAGGCACGTGCCCTGCACGCCCAGGGACATGACTGGGCAGACATTTTCCTTAATCCTCGAAGAGACAGAGGATTTTTAATTTTTAATTGAAGCAGTGAAAGCAAAGCACCCTGACACGCAGAGCACTGTGCCTGATATTCCCCAATATGGAAACAATTGGCGTGACCCAATTCCTGCTCTTTCATGCACTATTTATAACTTTATCTGCTTCCAGAGCAAGTGCAATCACATTAAATGGAAAGTGCCACCACAGAGGGTGAAGCTCTGGCCCGGGGGGACCACGAGGGATTGCCACAACAATGGCTCCTTGCAGGGAGGGCACTTTCATCCACGTTTTCACCCAGAAAATGCAAACACAGCAAGCTCTGACCTGCCCGAGCTCCTCATTCAGGTCCGAGGTGTTCACCAGTGCTCCCTCCTGAATTTCTTCATCATACATCTCCTTGTCCCAGGAGATGAAGAAGGAGCCCAAGAACTTCTGCATCTCTACTGTGACATACATGGAGACAGGGATAATGAAGTTGAAGAGGACCATGAAGGACAGGAAATCCGTGAACATCCGCAGGACCTGCAGAGGGAAGAGGAGAAGATGCAGCCTGTGGCTCTCAGGACACAGGGGCAGCTACAGCAACACCTCAGGGATTCTAGGCAGCTTCTCAGAAAGGGTTAAACAGGAAAAAAACAGCATGGAAATGAATACAGCTCAGATACAGGGCTAAACCCCATTGTCCTTTGGCACAGAAAATCCCCCTGTCCTCTGCAGCTCCACCAGCTACAGAGTACATCTCACTGCTTCATAACCACGTTTCATAAGCATATTCCTCTTAAGAATATCTGTTATAGGCCCATCCTGACCCCAAATAACCAGAAAAAAAGGAGCAGGTGGCTTGAGACCAGTCAGGCACAGGTACAAGAGGAGCAGTAACATCTCTGCACGTGCTCGTTTTTTAACCCATCACATCAAGATCTCTGCACACACTCACTGTCTCAGGCTTCACTGCCCAAATCTTAGCAAATTTACCAAACTGGCTGCCATGGCCTCAATTTAAGTTTACCTATTCAAAGCTGAAAGACAGCTCGAGTTCAGATGAGGACTCAGGTTAAACCAGCTGCATTTCTATATCATGGAGTATTTATTTATGCTTTGCCCTGCTCCACACAAATATCACTGTGCACAAGCATGAGAGAGGCACAAAGGAAACACAAACAGCAGGAGAGACCAAAGGAAACAACAGCACATTGTGTGAGCAAGCAGGACTCCCAGGGCTGGAGCAGGCACTACCAGATTAAACAAAACAGCCAGAAAAAGTCAAGCTGGAGGAGGTGCTGAAATCCAGATCCACTCACCTTGAATGTCTCTCTCTCTTTTTTAGTCTTTTCATTGTACCAAGGCTCATCATTAAATGGATTACTCTGCCAGACATATTTCAGAGTTGTGCACACAGTGGCCTTGCCCAGTAAGATGCACAAATACACTATCAAGAAAGCGTTGATAGATCTGAAAAACAGGTTTCTTTTTTAAATTCTTGCAGCTGTTTTTATAGAGAAAAACATGTTCAATAGGCAGGAACTAAACTTCCTTACTTTTAAGAAGAGAATTACAAAGCAAGTGCTTTTAACACTGATGATATTGAAGGTCGGGGTCATATTTTTTAACATTTCTTAATTTTGTTTTCAAATAAGAAAAGCTACTAAATGATGGTGCTTCTTACAAGATATGCTTTATCAAATACCCAGATTTTTCTATGCAATCAGAGAGCATGTGAAACAAAGGGCAGCAGATTAGGGGATTATTTCTGTACAAGCCACCCATTAAAAACCCAAGCCCAACAGGTTTTAGCGATTTTTTTCTGAACATAAATACTCACTTTTCCACAGCAGAGCGTTTCTGAGATTTCCCTTGGTAGTTCAGAGCCATTTTTGTTTCCATTCCAGTATAGACTGCAACTCCTGCAGGGCATTAAGGCAGGGCTCATTAGGGACTGGCACTCAGGGCATCAGTGTTTACATCCAACTCCAACCCAGGGAGGGAAGGGGCAGCACCCAAGGACTGCTCAACTCCAGAAACCTCTGAGGCTGCTAAATCATGTCACTGCTGTGTCCCAGAGCAGGAGCAGGGCCCAAGGACCACAGAGAGCCAGGAAAAGCATCAGTCTCCCATCACAGCCCTCACCCTCCATCACCAGAGCTCAGACTGCTCCCAGCAAAGGATCCGGGGACAAATCTTTGCTCATCGTGTCCCAGGCAAAAAGAAAAACCGGCTCTGGTGAACTGACAGCACCGGGCAGCCCTGCACACAGAACCAAAACCTCCTCCTTTCACCCTGAAATTGCAACCAGCTTGCATGGAAGCTGCAGCTGCACAGCCCAGGTAGGCAGGCTGCAAAGAAGTATGCTCAGTCCAGATTTAACAGGAAATATCTACATTTGTCATTACTTATCTGAACTGTTTAAATAAACAAACAAAAATAACTTCACCATAAATCTTCTTGGTATTTTTGAGGGTAGCACCTTTCAACAACAGGTTTTCAGGACCCAAAGACCTAAATATAAAAGAAATAACATGGCATCACTCAAGGAATATTCAAACTACTTTATAAACTAGAATCAGAAATTGGATATAAAGATAAGTAAAGGTTCCTTACATCTGATTACATCATTTGTGTTAAACTGGGGCCTTGCTTGAGTTTCTCTTATATATATAATTACATTTCCATTTCATCTTACAAATACTATCCCCAATGCACAAAGTTCCACTCTTGTTGGGGGATTTCCAGTAAAGCTTTGAGGAATAACTGCACAATGTTCAGATCCAGAATATTCCAGTACTCATATAAAAATGCAGTTTTAAAATCATCAGAAGCCTGTCCATTCCAGCCCAGCCAATCGATGGCACCACCAGAGCTGACAGCCCCATTTGTGTTTTTATTTCCCTGTGCAGACCCTCTGCTGCTCCCAGGGTATGACCAGACCCACCAGAGCACAAACCCCTCCACCATGCTCTGCTGAGAGCCAGTTGTTTTGGATGGCTTGTGAACATTTATTTACCCATTTTTTTTTCTGTGAAACGCTCTGACTGATGTTTGAGATTTTGCTTACCTTTGAATGACAATATTTTGTCATTGCCTGGTACATTTGTGCCCCATCAGCAGGGCAGGACATGACCAGGTGGTCCCTGCTTCCCCAAAGGGGGCTCAAACAAATCACAGGATGGCAGAAGAGAGATCTCCTTTTAGAATGAAATCTTTGGAATGGTTAAAGAAAAAAAATTCCCAAATGATGGCAGGACAAATTCAAGATCCTTGAAATTCTCTGTAGATGCCCAACCCCTTTGAGGAGGGCCAACTGACCAACCTGGCTACAGGCTCTTGGTTACTTCTGTAGATGATAATTCTCCCAACAAATCTGTGATAAAATAGGAGAAACTTGTATTACAAACACACCAAAGAAGAGTCATTGACAGAAAATGGAAGCAAACACAGAAACAAGTGAATTGGAGAGTTCAATGAGCACAGAGGCCGTGCTCAGGACAGGGAGCAGCCACACTCTCCCCAGGGATGTTTACACACCCATTTCTGCAAGGGATGTAACCACAGACACTGCAGTGGTGCACGGACCATTCCCAGTGCTGAGCTGAGCAAAACCAGCTCACCCCACCAGGGAAGAGCTGCACAAGGGACACCTGGGTCACCCCACCAGGGAGGAGCTGCACAAGGGACACCTGGGTCACCCCACCAGGGAGGAGCTGCACAAGGGACACCTGGATCACCCCACCAGGGAGGAGCTGCACAAGGGACACCTGGGTCACCCCACCAGGGAAGAGCTGCACAAGGGACACCTGGGTCACCCCACCAGGGAAGAGCTGCACAAGGGACACCTGGCTGCCGAGACCCTGAGCTTGGAAAACTTTGCCATGCCCATGCACAGGAGGCTCATCCCTGCCCTGGGACACCCTTTGGTGTCTGATGCACAGACAATGATTGCTCTGCTGAGCTGCAGATGGCTCTGGGGATGGTGCTGAGGTGTCTGAGGGGGTGACACCAGGACAGGGGGGACACAGGAGGGACAGACTGACTCGGAGGGGTCAGGGGGGATGCAGGAGGGACAGACTCACTTGTAGAGGTCAGGCTGTGGCTGCTCACACTCGATGGTGGCCGTGAGGGTGTCGATGGCTTCATCAGTGCAGAGCACAGTGGTGTCCCTCACTGCATAGTGAGTCTGGGACAGGAGCACAGGCAGTGTCACCACCAACCTTAGCAACAATCCCATCCCCAAATTTGATGCCCCATCACTTAAAACGTCTCTGTGCACAAGCCTGTCAGCACCTGCAGCTCTCCCAGGCCCTCACCACATTCCCAAAAAGCAGCTGAAGCATCTCTCAGCAAGAATGAAGTCACTGACACTTAAGAGAAGCCACAGCAGCAGGAGCTGCTGGGTGTCCCTCAGTAAGGCATCACCAAAAGCATGGCACCCCCCAAAAGCACAGCATCCTGGTTTTCCCTGGTTGGGGTGCAGGTAGCCCTGGGAAGGGGCTTGG